GTCGTGATTTATATAGAGAGAGTGCTTTTCACCTCTGAGGAGTCCCCCCCCCACACACCATCACCACTGGGAAACCATAACCACTGGCGGGGGGGGGGGGGGGGGGGGGGGGGGTGGGGGAGGGGGGTTGGTCACTCCTGGGGCACCTCAGAGGAAAAAGCTCACGGCCTTCTCCCTATTGCACCAGAAGTGGACCCACAACTCCATTTCCCTCCGTTGTCACCTCTGGAGGTCTTGACCCCTCAGCTTACTCCCAGATCTGGGACCCTCCGGGTCCATACTCCATCCCCACCTACATCCCGAGATTCGAACTCTGGGCCTGATGAACCTTCGCCTGCCAAGGAGGATGAGCCATGGGGGCCATCGGAGCAGGAACCAGTCGCAGGACAGTGCCTCAATATCAGGAGCCAATCAGAATTCACACTGGAGCCACACCTACTAGGTAAGCAGACAGCCCAAGGCAGATTCAGCCTTGGACTACTGGAAGCCAAAGGTTGGGAGGATTGAAATTCAAAGGGACCAATCCAGTAAAAGGAACAAAGACAGTCTAGTCAGCTATTGGCTAGCCATTATAAACTCCGCTCTTGACATTTCCCATTGGCCGTTTCACTGTGGTTCCCGCCCACTACAGAAGTTAGGATTGGATAATTGCCAAAAGAAAAATAAAACTCCCTCTTTTTAAGAGCTGCTCCTACTTGCTGATTGTGGATACACCGCATTTGAGAAAAACAAAAAGCACAGAACAAGGCTTTCTTCTTGATGTGGCTACGGGACTTTTACAAGTAAACTTTATGCCTCTTCCTTCCTTCCTTCCTTCCTTCCTCTCTCTCGCTTCTCTCTTTCTTTGTCTTTCTCTCTTTCTTTCTTTCTTTCTATCCTTTCGCTTTTTCTGCTCAAGGCTGGCATCCTACCACTGGAACCTCAGCCCCCCCCCTTCAGCTTTTTGTATTCGTTAATTGGGGATGCCTCTCGCTGGAATAATTTTCTACTTGAGCTGGCTTTGAACCGTGATCCTCAGATCCCAGCAGCTTCCTGAGTCTCGGGGATTCCAGGCATGAGCCCCCAGTGCCTGGTTTCTATGCATTTCCCAAGCACTATGTCCCAGCCAGGCATGGTGGCACATGCCTGGAATCCCTCGGGGTTTCAGGACAGTCCGGGCTCTATAGAGAGGCCCTGCCTCGTCAAAGAAAAAAGCAAACAAACACACAGAGCTCCCTATACCGTTCCCTGACAGCATCCATCCGCCGGTTGTAAATAGTCCCTGCCTCACTTAAAAGCTCTGTGGGGCGGGGCCTCCAGGAACTTGCTTAGGTGTTTACACAGTGCAGATCTTGGACTCGTCCCCACCTCCGGGGACAGCCATTGGCTGAGCCCCGCGAGGCCCCGCCCCTCCGCTCCCTCCCTCGGGGGGCCCCAGTGCGGTGGCCCCAGTCCCCAAGCAGCCACGGTCTCCGCAGCCTCTCACTTCCCGCCGAGATGGGGAGTCAAGGTGGGTTTGTCCGGGGGTGGGGGGTGGGGCCTGGGACGGGACCTGGGTGGGGGGACGGGAAAAGGGCCCAGTTTGGCTCTTCTGTCCCTCCAATCTGGAGCCTGGTTTGCTATGCTCCTGAATTCTCCTGAGGCTGGGGGAGGCGGGGAGCTTCAAGGGGACCTAGAGAGGATCTGGAGGAAACGTGGGGATCCCCACCCCAACAAGCTAGGACTCTGGGGCCTCAGGAGCAGGGAGCCCCCCTCCCCCAGTCCCGGGCCCAGTCGCTGCTGTCACTCAGGTCCGGACACGCCAGCACAGCTGCTGGCGGCCCCCTCCCCCCAGCATGCCTAAACTTAGCCCCGCCTCAGGCGACCCGGCCCCTCCCCCACACGGGGCCAGGCTGGGGGATTCCCCCCTCACCTCCCCCCCTCTGCCCAGGGAGAGGAGGGGGCTACCCCTATTTAGAGGGAAATTGAAGGATGCCAAATGAGGGGGTGAGACTCTGTAGGGGGGGCTGGTAGATGGGTTTGCTAGTCCGCAGTAAGGGTGTGAGGCTGGGTACGGTGTGGAAGGGGACAGATGTGGGTTCTGGGACGGGTGTTGCAGTGTAGATGGAAGGGAATCTGGTGGTCCATGGGCCAGGCCTCATGCTGGATTTGGAGGTGCGTTGAAGAACTGTGAAACAAGCCCAGTACCTGTGGCTCACACCTGTAATTCTAGCTACTTAGGAGGCTGAAATCTGAGGATCGCAGTTCTAAGCCAGCCCGGGCAAGGAAAGGCAGGGAGATTCTTATCTCCAATTAATCACCAGAAAACCAAAAGTGGTGCTGTGGCTCAAGTGGTAGAGTGCTAGCCTTGGGCAAAAGAAGCTCAGGGACAGGCCAAGAGTTCAAATCCCATGACCAACAATAAACAAAAGAGAGAGAGAGAGAAAGGAAGGAAGGGAGAGAAAGAAAGAAGTAAAAGTGCCTGGTGTATTGGCCCCTGTAATTGTAACTACTCACAGGAGGCAGGGATTGGAGAATCTTGATTTACAGGCCAGCCTTGGAAAAGAAAAGTTTGGTGATTCCATCCCATCCAATGGCTGAGTGTGGTGTTATGCCCTCTTTCCAGCTAGAGGGTGGAGGGGGAAGAAAGAATTGCAATGGTTGGGAGCAACAGCATGGGTCTATCATCCCATGGGGCATGGGGGAGCCCAACCATGATTGCAGGTCAGGCTAGATCCAGCATAAAGCCAGACGCTTCCTGGAAAATAACCCCAAAAGGAGCTGGAGGTATGGTTCAGATGGTAGAATGCCTGCTACCTAGTAAGCATGAGGCCCTGAGTTCAATTCCCAGTACTGCCACACAAATCCCTGAAAGGCGTGGCTAATTTCAGTTAAAAGGAGCATGGTGTTCTTTATATATTTAGGACTTAGAAAATCATGTATTGTGGCCTGGGAAGGTGGCTTTGTGGTAGGGTGCTTGCCTAGCATGCATGCAGCCCTGAGTTTGATTCCTCAATACCACATACACAGAAAAAGCCAGAAATGGTGCTGTGGCTCAAGTGGTAGAGTGCTAGCCTTGAGCAAAAAGAAGCTCAGGGACAGTGCCCAGGCCCAGAGTTCAACCCCATGATTGGCAATAATCATAATAATAATGTTAAGTCCAGTAAGGCATTCCCATTCTTCACTGAGATGAAAACGCGTAATGCCCATTTCTGGGCCAGATGTTGAGAAAAGACCACATTTGTATTGCAGGGGGAATTAAAACCTGTTACTGCTGAGCCAGGCACCAGTGGCTCACATCTGTAATCCTAGCTACTCAAGAGACCTGAAGATCGTGGTCCCAAGGCAGCTGGTGTAGAAAACAGTTCAGGCAACTCCCATCTCTAACCAGTCAAAAGCCATTAGTGGAGGTGTGGCTCCAGTGGTAGAACACCAGCCTTGCATGCAAAAGCTAAGGGGCAGCACCCAGGCCCTGAGTTCAAGCCTCAGTCCTGGTGTGTGGGCATGCACACAATAGGCGCATGTGCACACACACTCAGAAAGGTGGGAATCAGATAAGGGCTGAAGCAGGTGCACTGCACAGGCAAGAATGGTAGCAGTGGCTCCCGGCAGTGGCCTGATGCCTTCCTGCTCCACAGTGGCGGACCTGCTGTACTGGAAGGACTCCCGGACATCGGCGGTGGTCTTCACTGGCCTCATGGTCTCCCTCCTCTGCCTCCTGCACTTCAGCATCGTGTCCGTGGCCTCGCACGTGGCTCTACTGCTGCTCTGTGGCACCATCTCTCTCAGGGTTTACCGCAAAATGCTGCAGGCTGTGCACCGGGGCGATGGAGCCAACCCCTTCCAGTGAGACCCCTTGTCCCCAGACTCCCTCCAGCCCCCAGCACCCCCAGCACCGACCCCTGACTCGGGCAGCCTCATCCTCTTTCCTCCTGATCTGAAACCTGAGTTTGACTCCAGCCCACTCCACATGGTCCCTCAGTCCTAACCCCAGGACCCCATTCCTTGCTCTTGTCTCAGCCATGCCCCCAGGCTCCGTCCCTTTGTCCTATCAGGGCGTATCTGGACGTGGATCTGACCCTGACCCCAGAGCAGAGGGAACGTCTGTCCCACCAGATCGCCTCCCACGTGGTCTCTGCAGCCAAGCAGCTGCGACATTTCTTCCTGGTAGAAGACCTGGTGGATTCTCTCAAGGTGCCTTGAGGCTGTTCCCACCCCTCTTCCTCCTCTTCCTCTGGGGTTCCCAAGTCTCACCTCTTCTCTCTCTCTGGGGGTGGGGAGGGGGGCGCTGGGGAGGACCTCAGCCTGGACCTGACCACGGCCTTCACCCCCAGTTGGCCCTGCTCTTCTACATCTTGACCTTCGTGGGGGCGGTCTTCAATGGTTTGACTCTTCTCATTCTGGGTGAGTCAACATGGCTGTGGTGGGCAGGTGGGAGCAGGGTTGATCAGGTTTGAGGGGGATGTGGGACTCCGGATGAAACTGTGGAGGCCCTGGGTCAGCCTGACCCCCTCATCTTTGTATCCACAGGAGTGATCGCTTTGTTCACAGTCCCGCTGCTGTATCAGCAGCACCAGGTGAGTACTACAAGCCGACCACCCACGGCCCCCTGGCCGGTGCTGCGCAGCTGGGATGACAGGCATGCACTACCACACCTACCTTTTATTAGTTGAAATGGGGTCTCACCAACTTTTCCCCACCACTGGATTAGGACCTTGATCCTCCTGATCCCCATCTCCTGGGTGGTGCTGCTGCACTTGGCTGTTATTTTGTATCTTGAAATAGGGTCTTGCTTTTACCCAGGCTGATTCCACCTCTCCAGCAGCTCTGGCCCAGCTGGTATTACAGACATGTGCTGCCACACCCCACATAAAGTGTATTTAAATCAAACCACTCAGAGACTCATCCCCTCACTTTACCCTGCTCTGCAATATAGATACAACACAGACAAGCACACACACACACCATTCCTAATTCCTTTTCCTTTCTCTCCTTGGTCTCTCCAGGCCCAGATAGACCAGTATGTGGGTTTGGTGACCAATCAGTTGAGCCACATCAAAGCTAAGTAAGAGCCTGAGGCAGAGCTGGATGGGAACTGAGTTGGGGGGAGCTGGGGGAACATGGGAACTTTGTCCTCGCCGCCATCAGAGCAGGCGTGGGACGATCCCAGCGCCGGCCACTAGGTGGCGGGCAGGGCCTGGCCGTGTGCGATCCCAGCGCCGGCCACTAGATGGCGGGCAGGGCCTGGCCGTGTGCGATCCCAGCGCCGGCCACTAGATGGCGGGCAGGGCCTGGCCGTGTGCGATCCCAGGGCTGGCGGTGGATGCTCGGCTCCTTCCACCACTGTCCCCCTGGTTTCCAGTGTCATCTTTATCTCTTGATACACCCCTGACCCCCAGTGTTTCTCCCTTAGGATCCGAGCTAAAATCCCAGGGACCGGAGCCCTTGCTTCAACAGCAGCCTCAGTCTCCGGATGCAAATCCAAAGCCGAATGAGAGGACATCTGTGCTCGCTCATGGGATGCCTGGCTTGCCCCTCCCCCAGCAGCCCCTGTCCCCATCTCCTCCCCCCATCCCCATCCATCCCCCACTTTCTCCTCCCTCGCCCCAAGCCAGTTCCTGGTAGGTGTCAGGATCTCTCCCACTGGGGACTCTGCACCAAGTGTCTAAGCCACTAGGACTACATTTCCCAAGAGGCTCTACGCCAGGAGTCCAGGAAAGACAACGCACCTTGGTCGTGGGACCTGCTGGGACTTGTAGTTGTCTAGCCAGGGCATGGTCCCGCACTTCCGTGACCAGCCGCTGGAGGCGCCACAAGGGGTTGGTGTCTTCTGGACGACGCCAGGCTGGGGCTTTGCATGGGGCCCAGGCGAGGCCTGAGCTTGGATTTACACTGTAATAAAGACTCCTGTGGAAAATTCCAGCCTCCTATGCTTCCAGCCCCTCCAGCTTTCACCTTCCTGGTCTGAAAAGCACTGTACAGGACAGGTCCAGGACGTGCCCCCAGTTAAGCAGAAGAACCTCAACTGTCTGTTACAGTATGAACTGATTAAAGAGAAAGTGAGGAGAGACCACGCAGTCCAGATTTGTCCCAGCCTGAGCTCAAGGCAGACATCACTAGTAGATTCCACATTCTAACGGTTTCCTTGCCTGAGCTCAAGGCAGACATCACTAATAGATCCCACACTGTCTACTACACACTCAAGTATTTACGTTCTAAAAAGTCTCTCTCTCTCTCTCTCTCACACACACACACACACACACACACACACGACAAACATTCAAATAGTTTCCTCTTCCTATTGATCTCCAACCCAGGAACAATCCCATTGTCCACTTAGTTGCCAGGCTAGACACTGCCCAACATTCCTTTTCCCTCACTTCCTACATCTAGCCAGCTGAAGAATCCTATGTATTGCAGTACCATCTCCAGTTCCCAACATCTCTTCACTCTGCTTCAATTACCTGGGGCCCAAGAATAGGCTCATGGCCTCAGGTTCCAGAGCTAAACGGATAGAGAGAGGCCAGGGGAGACTGGATTCCAGTACAGGATCCTGGGTGTGCATTTTAGCTTAGCTACCTCTTGTTGAGCCAGGAGAGGTTTGTACTAGGTCTTGAACCCAGGGCCTCGCCCTTTTTTTTTTTTTCCCCATCATGGGGCTTGAACTCTGGGCCTAGGCACTGTCCCTCAGTTCTTCAGCTCAAAGCTAAATGCTCTACCACTTGATCCACTTTTCTGGTGGTTAACTGGAGATAAAAGTCTCATGGGCTTTCCTTCCCAGGCTGGCTTTGAACCGTGATCCTCAGATCTCAACCTCCCGAGTAGCTAGGATTACAAGCTACAGGTATGAACCACCGGTATCTGTCTTGCTTGACTCTTTTAGACATGATTTGTCTGTTCAAGCTGGCCGAAAATCTCAGCCTCCTGAGTAGCTAGAATTGTAGCCTAGTCTTGCATGAAAAACTTAAGGCACAATGTCTGAGCCTGCAGTTCAAACCCAGATTCTCTCTCTCTCTCTCTCTCTCTCTCTCTCTCTCTCCCCCCCTCTTGCTTTCCCTCCCCATCAGCATCATTATCTCACTACCTGGATTTGGCTGTCCTGGAACCTTATATATAGATCAATAGTTCAGGCTGGTCTTGAATTCACAAATTTCAGCCTCCTGAGTGCTGGGATTATAGGCATGCACTACCACACTACCTGAAGTATCTAAAAATGCTTCCATTCAAACTTTTCATAAGACAGGGCTGGGAAGGTGGCTCAGTGGTAGAGCACTTGCCTTGCATGCCCGAAGCCCTGGGTTCAATTCCTCAGCACCACATAAGCAAATAGAAAAAAGCCAGAAGTAGCACTGTGGCTCAAGTGGTAGTGTGCTAGCCTTGAGCTGAAGAGCTGAGGGACAGTGCCCAGGCCCAGAGTTCAGGCCCCACGACTGGATCCCCCCCAAAAAAAACTTTTCATAAGACAAAGCGTTTGTTCAAAGACCATCTATAAAGGCATAAAGCGTGTTGAAGTTTGAAGTGGGTTTTCCTGAGTATGCTACAGACTTGGTGCAAATCTTGGTCCATTGCACTCAAAGCCATGCCCCTTGCCCAATGATAGCATAGACTCCAGGGTGTATCCCAACCCTCTTATGCTCTAGCAATACAATCATAAAGGCATATCAAGTTTCCTGCAGCTGATTTTGTTTTGTTGGCATAAACAATAAGCAAAGAAACATAGAATGGGACCAGTGGTGATCAGAGTGGTGAAAAAGAGTCCAGCCGGCAGGGGATCAAGTGACAGTCTTGCTATTTTAAACTGGGCATCTTGGGAGCTGATATTTGAGCAGAGGACAGCGGGAGGGGGCAGGGAGCCCAAGAAACATATGGCAGACAGGCGACCAGCAAAGGTCTGGAGAAAGCATCCTGCCCGGGGTCATATGCCTCAAGCTACAAGCCAAATATGGAGAGAAAAAATATTGCCAACCAATCTCTGACATGTAATGCTTTTTTGTTTGTCTGGTGTTTTTTGTTTTTTAAATTTTCTATCCTGGGGTTCGAATTTAGGGTCTCAAGTTTTCTAGGCAGGCACTGTACCACTTCAGCCACATCTCCAACTCATCTCATACTCATTTTGCAAATCCAGGGCAGGGACCCTTAGCACAATCCTCCCCAGTAGCTGAGATTCTAGAAGTGCACCACTAAGCGTAACCTGATCTTTTTTTTTTGGAATAATGATTAGGGTGGTGTAATTATAATTCTGATAAAGGTCCATTCTCCCTGGAGACTGAGGGAATCTGAGCCTCGGTTTCCCTGACCACAGCACTCAGGTGTAAACATTGATGAAATTCAGTGTCTCCCAGGCAGATTTCAGTCCCAACACCTAAGATAGTACCTGGGACTCCGTACATTTGAATAGTCAACGTTTGAATCAAGACCGAGCTCAGCCGATCCTGCAGTTCCAAAAATGTACACCAGGTGGCGCAGCCTCCCCCGTTCGCGCGGGGCCACAGCTTCGGGCTACTCCTGGGCAAAAAACCCCAAAATTCTTCCGCGAAGGTGTGAGGGGAGGAGTTTGGGGGGGGGAGGTTCTGAAATCGACTTGTGAGTTTCTTCCGTTAGGAAACCTTTTTATTTACTTATGATTCCTGCCTTTTGTATAAATGGCTTCCGAATCTTTGGACTCTAGCAGCAAAGAAACTCCCTGGGTACTGTTTCCCAGAATGCACAGCGCCATGCAAATGAGGCCGCTTCCCGAAGCGAGGAGTGACTCGTCTTCAGAAAAAAAAATCTGGCCAACGATCTTTGCTATTACCTTTCAAAAGACACGGCAGGGACTTATAAGCACCAAAATGAGAGCGTTGACAGCATCCAGGACAAATCACCATGGGTGTAAAATGTTGAGTTTTCAGGTCTTTATATAGAGGCATGAAAACAGTGGCTTTTGCCCGGATGATCCTCAGTGGTCTGGGGTGCAGGCTTCAAACCTGTAGCTGTTTAGCGACAGAGTGGTTCAATTCCACCTTTCGGGCGGGAGTATCTATCCCATTTTTGTCCCCACAGAACTAGAACTCAATTTCTCTTCCAGTCCTGCGTTTGCTCAGAGGCGCACTTCTGGAGGGCGCCAGGAGAGGGCGCTGTGACCCATTGTCCATCCCGGGAGTATTACAGATCCTTCCAAAAGAAAGTGAAGAAAACTTTGTCTCTGCAGTCTGGGGCTGCTTCCCGTGGGAGCGTTTGTTTTCCTTTCCTGGACTGGGCATTCACTCATTTGTTCACTCACGGATTAATCACGCCTTGGCTGAATCAGGGCCGCCTTTGTTTCTCTGCACGTGCTTGGGGTTACTCATAGCACAGTTTCTGGTTGTTTTTTTTTTTTTTAGACTTTTATTGAGATTAAGTGATGACATAAATTTCAGAAATTTCACAGTATTATGAGATAGTGATACTTAGTTAAGGTCACACACCCTTTAACCTTCACAAGGCAAATCGTCGTTATCATCTTCTAGAATGTTTGTGAATTCTATGGGCTTTGACAATACAGCTATTTCTTCTACATGGGGGGGGGGATATGTACATTTCCTTTGCTTAGTGTCAGCTGTTCCCTCTTTCCCTCTCATTTCCTCTCTCCCATCGCTGCCCTGGAGATTTTTAGTTCATTTTCATCAATGTCCAGTGCAGCTGATGGGTCCCACTGCTGTATCCTCCTCCTGGCTTCCCTCAGACGAGCACATACATACATACATAGTATGTATGTATGTATGTGTGTATGTATATATATATATATAATATATGTGGTCAACAACATGAGGTCATTTAGTAATGATATGACAAATTGAGTGGACATCTTTTGTCATATCTCCTTGCATTTTGGATTTAACATACACCTATCAGGGAGACCATGTGCATTTGTCTCTCTGCTCTTGGCTTACCTCATCAAAAATTCTTGTTCCATCCATTTCCCTGAGAATGCCATTATTTTGTTCTTTCTAATGGCTGCGTAATATTCCATTGTATATTGGTACAATTTTTGGACCCATTCATCTGTAGCGGGGCATCTGGGTTGTTTCCCTATCTTGGCTATTGTGAACAGTGCAGCAATGAACAAGAGGTGCAGGTGTCCTTGTATTCTGGTTCCTGTTGCTCAGGGTAGATGCCTAGGAGTGATATGGCTGGGTCGTAGGGGAGGTCTATATTTAGCTTTCTGAGGTACCTCCAGACTGCTTTCCAGAGTGGTTGTATTAGTGTACATTCCAGTTTTTGTTAAAAGATGATAAATGCACACCATCTACCAAGGATATTTAACACTGACACTGACACTGGGGCAGACTCGTAAAGCATGACAGAGTCAGCTGCACACTGATGCTCACGCCTGTCATCCCAGCTACTCAAGAGGCTGAGATCTGAGGGTCACGGGTCAAAGCCAGCCTGGGCAGAAAAGTCCATAAAATTTTTATCTCCAGTTAACCAGCAAAAAGCCAGAAGTGGTGCTGTGGCTCAAGTGGTAGAGTGCTAGCCTTGAGCACAAAAGCTCAGGGACAACACCCAGGCCCTGAGTTCAAGTCCCAGGACTGGCACCAAAATAAATAGATAAAAGGACAAAGGGTCAGTTAATAGTAGGAGAAGTAGATGGGATTGTGGGGGGACCCCAGTAATGACCAGGGGGGTGGTAATACATCTTTATCACTCAAGCTGAGTCCTTCCAACAGCCAATGCAGAAACTAAGGCTGGGAAAGATGAAATCCCTGGTTCATGATCAACCTCCTGCTCCATAATTGACTTCTGCCTGTCCTCCCCCCTCCCACCCCAATCCCCTAAGGTCTCAGGTCCTTGCCCTCCCTCTTTTCCCACACTCTCTCTTTTTCCCAGGTCTCCTTCCAGTCTAACTCCTCTCCCTTCCAGCTACTCTCAACCTCACAAACCTGTCTGAGCCTCTCTGCGCCTCAAAAACCCTGCCATGGCTCCCCACGTCCCTCCAGAGCTCTGCTACATTTTTTTTAGAATATAAAGTGGGCATTCACGCATGGGAAGTTCTCCCAGGTGTCTAGCCTCACTCCATCATGCTGTGACCCCCCCCAGAAAACAGACAGTTGGGTCTGGCATCTGAATTTTAAGGATCTTTTTTTTTTTTTTATTGGCGACAGTGCAGAACCAAGAGGGGAGGGGAGGGGGGACAGCGCAGGGCTCCCCGGTTCCCCCCCACACCCCACCCCCGGGCAAGGTGCAAAATACAAAATCAAAATCACAAATACATCATGGCAGCCGTCAGGGATCCGATACATTGTGATTGACACGTGCATGCGTCCCACCGCAACAATCCCAGACAGATGGTCACAACCACCACAACAATGACAACGCAGAACAACCACCGATCATTCTCTCAGCCTAACACAACCAAAACCACAGGTCCCCAGTGCGGCCAGAGTTCAAAAGATCTCGGGGTGTGGGGGGGTATGAGTGGGGGACAATCAGTAGAAAGAGACAGGTGGACGAGGTCAAAGTGAACCTGTCCACAGGAGACAGGGAGAGAAACAGCCCGACGGGCGGGAGACAATCAGAAGAGACAGTCAGAAGAAAAAAAAAAGACAAGACAGACAGGACAGACAGGCAGATGGACTCCCAACTTTCCAGAAAAGTCATTTCCAACTCCACAGCACACTGTGTAGAGGTCACACACACACACGCACGCACACACACGCACGCACACACCATATATAATATACTTATTTATACATAATAGATTATAAGTGCCTTTCGGAAACCAGGAAAGGGATAAATAGCTGGGGGAGGGGGCGGGTGGAATGTTCTGGTCCATGCAGCGTGGGAGGGAGGGGAAGGGGGCCGCGGGACCCATCCCCGATGTTAAAAAATAGAAATCTGCTTCGTGGTGGGATTTCCACGAGGTGAAGCGCAAGGTGGGGGGGGGAGGGAGGCCAGAACCAAAATGGGGAGTGGGGTGGGGGGAAGAGGGTGACCCCTCCACAGGGCTACTGACCCCCCAGACAATAATTGAGGTGGAGAGGCGGGGTGAGGGGCCAGGGGAGGGCAGGCCAAGCCTCAGCCCTGAACACTTCTCCAGAAACAAAAAAATGCTGGCCCTACCCCCCTTCTCCCCTTTCTGGAGAGGATTGGGGTGCAGTGGGCGGGGAGAAGCTGGCGTCCTCGGCTGGGGTGGGGGGGGGACCATGTGGGTGGACGGACCCAACTGTCACCTTTTGAGTCGGACTCACTGTATTGTCCAGGGGAGAGAAAAAGAGGGGGGACCGAGGGAAGGCTTTGGGGGGGAGCGGGGCCTCCTACCCCGCTGTGTACCCCACGTTTGGCCCATTCACAGTATAAACGCCCCAGCAGGACGGCGTTCCCGAGCCCCTGCTGTCTAAAACCAGAAAGGCCCAACGAGGAAAGCCCTGGCGGGCTGGGGGCGGGGAGGGGGGTGTGGGGGACAGGAGAGGACAGAATTGGGGGGGCTAATACTGCCAAACACGGGGTAGGGGGGGGCTGAATGGAGAGAGGGAAGGACGGCGTCCAACCCAAGCCGGGTTTGCCAGGGAAGGAGCTGGCTGGACAGTCAGGGACGTTTCACATTTTAGGTTAAAGTCTGGATGCAGGCGTATGTGTGGGGTGGGGGACCCCAACTCCTGGAGGGGGGCGATCGGCTTCCGTGGGTAGGGTAGGGGGTGGGAAGGGGGGTCAACTCTGCCCGGAGGAAGCTCGGAAGCTCTTGGGAAAATGGGATTTAAGAGGCTAAGGTGAGGCCCAGGGTGGGCCCCCCTGGAAAGGGGAGGAAAGTGGGGGGGTGGGGGCTCTGTGGCATCTCCTTGTTGGGCCTCTCTGAGCATGCGGGCATCGCACAGCCCACCTTAACCCCCAACCCTCCCCTGCCTCGCCAGCGTCCCCCCCACACACACTCCACCCACCCCGCAGACACTGGGTGGCGGTGACAAAGATCAACAGGACAATTGAGGGGTGCGGGGTGGGGGCGGTGTGTCCGTCCCTCCGTCCCCACCCCATCTCCCTTACCCACCCCCTTCCACCCCCCGGTTCACCCCAATCCAAAGTCACCCAGCACGGATTACAAGAGGAGACACGGAAACGCATGGCGGGGCTCCTTCAGTCCAGCGGCAGGATTCGAACTCAAGTCCGGAAGATCCCATGATGGACGGACGGACGGATGGGGAGGGGAGGGCTGTGAGTGTCTCTTCCCCCCTCTCCTCCTCCTCCTGGGTCCCAAATGTTCTGGGCTTTGTCCTCGGCTTGCGCGCGCGCGCGCGCGCGTGTGCGCGCGGAGGGAGCGCGCGTGTGTGTGCGCGCGTGTGCCCCGCGGCCCCCGGGGCGGGGAGGGGGGTCACAGAGCGAGGAGGGAGGGCGAGCTCAGGGGGTCCGCGGGGGGCTCGCTGCCGCTGCTGCGCTGGGCGCCGGCGAACGCGGGGGCCTCCGGCCAGGTGAGGACAAACGAGGAGGTGTACGAAGGGCTAACAACGGGGAGGGGGTCGCCGAGGACGTGAGCTTCACTGCGTGTAAAGAGAGAAGCGGTGAGGTTGGGGGCCGCGTCCGGGCCGGCGTGGAAGGGCGGGGGCGGCGGGGGCGGCGGCAGCCAGCTGAAACCGTCGTCCTTAGCCGGCAAGCCTCTCACCTCCGCCAGGGGCCCCCCCGGGCCCTCTTCGAACGGGATCTTGCAGCCCGGTTTGTGGGCCACCAGCACAAACTCCAGACGCTCTTTCTCCTTCTGCAGCTCGGCGATCTCCGACTCCAGCTCGGCTTTTTCTTCCTCCAGTTGATCTGTTTCCTGGGGGGGACAGAAGGGGGAAGGAAAGGGGAGCCATTAGTCCAGGGATGACAACAGGTGCCTCGTAGCTCATCCCCCCTCCCACCCACCCCGCAAAACAATCCCCGAGCTGGTAGGCTCTAAGGAGAAACTTGGGGCTGCGCCGTGGTGCCTCAGTTTCCCCCATGGATGGTTGAGCGCCTGTGGGATTGGAGTCCTGTGTGTGTGTGTGTGTCCTGGGGCTGGAACTCAGGACCTGGATGTGGCCCCTGAGCATTTCCCCCCCCCTTTTTTTCCCCTTAAAGCTAGTTAGTGCTCTACCACTTGAGCCACAGCTCCACTCCCAGCCTTTTATGCTGGCTCACTGGAGATCAAGAATATCATGGATTTTCCTTGCCCTGGCCGCGCAATCCTCGGACCTCAGCCTCCTGCATAGCTCGGGTGACAGGCAGGAGTTCCCCCAGCGTCCCTGGCTTGGAGCATGTCTCTAACGGGTTCTACCTGTCCCCAGCTTCCCCTTGTGAGGACTCCCGGGGTGGGGCAGCAGAGCATTTTCCTGTCTCCTCCGGGAGCCCTGTGAGGCCAGGGTTTGGAGGTTTATAAACCCTGGCTGGCCTCCACCAGCCTCCCGTTCAGGAGAATCGTGAGGGGCGGGGCAGAAAGTGAGGAAGGAAGGTGGGGGGGAACCATCTTGGCTATTCCAGTGGAAACAGGCTGAGCTATTTGATGGGAGACAGGGAAAGATGGGGAAAGAGGCAGAAGTTGGGGTGCCCAGGACTCAGTGGAAGAAATGGCTGGAGCTGTCCCCTCTGCCACTTGTCTCCAGATGAAATTGACAACTGTGACAACCACACGTGTAGTCAGAGAAGAAGAGGGACTGGCAGGAAGCTTGGGGGGGGTGTCTGTGTGTGGTCCCTCGGGGGCACTCTGACGTGGCCTGCTTCATCTGGTCCCCACACATGAACCTCATTCCTTCTCCCACCCTAGGGCCGGTCCTTACCGCCTGCAGCCTATCAGTGAGCTCTCGTCGCCGGTTCCTGCATTTAGCCGCTGCTAGCTTGTTCCTCTCCCGGCGAACCCTTCGCTTCTCTTCTTCCTCTGGGGTAAGCTGAGGCAGGGAGACAGAAGCCATGAGATTTGGGGCTCTGGTGACCTCCCCCCTCTTTGCCAAACCTCCTCTGCTTTCAGAACAGCCAGAAGCCAACCCCTCCAGTCCTCACTAACTCCAGCAAGGTTTACTGAAACCTTGAGGCTTAGGGGACCCCACCCAATTGTGGCAAAGTTAGACATTTCTTGCTTCCAGTTCCCCCAGACTTAACTTACTTCCGCTGCCTTTTTGCTTTTTGGTGGTGGTGTGAAGGTCTGAACTCAGGGTCTTGACCCAATTCATCTACCTCTTGAGCCACACCCCCCAGCCCCCCCCCGAATTATTATTCAAAGAGGGTCTCTTCCTTTTCACCACCCTGGGCTATCCTGAAACTGATCTTCTACCTATGCCTCCTGCATGGCTGGGATTACAGGCATGCACCACCATGCCATCCCCCCCTTCCCCAGATCAACTTCTCATGCCCTATACTTACCGACTCTTCTCGGGGTCTCCTAGGCCGGGCTCGGGCTGGGCGGGAAGGCCCAGGTCCACTGGTGGTGCCACTGGTAGAAGGCCCGCCACTGGCACCAGCTGCAACACTGCTGTAGCCACTCAGGCCTGGTGTGGAGTAGCTGGTCCCTGGCATGTCATAGGGGTCCACAGCTGGGGGCTGTGAAGCCAGTGGCTGCCCCTGGGACTGGGCCATGGAAGAGATGAGTGTGGGTTGCACAAGCCACTGGAGGTCCTGGCTGGTGGTGATCGCCGTGACCGTGGGCACGAAGGAACCGGGCATTTCCCCGAGACCGGCGCACTCCTACGGGGTGACACATACACACACAGGCGTAGACACACAAACAAAGACACCAACACATACATACCCAACACACATAACACACACCGAGCCCGTGAGTGAGCACCGGGCGAGCGGGTGTGGATGTGTGTGTCACAGGCAAAAAGCCACAACACCCACCCTTCCACTACACCGTGACGCAGTGCTTAATGAGAGAATTTCTGCTCAACCAGCTTCTACCTCCTCCTTCTTCCTCGGGGAAAGGTTGCACGGTTGTCGAGGGTGGTGAATCACACCCCGGGTTGGTGACTCTTAGGTGGGGGGGGGAGGAGGCTGGACACAGCCGGGTGACAGAACTCCCAGGATGGAGTCACAGCCACACACAGCCACAACACCCCACCCCCACCCCAGAAGCAAGCGGGAGGGAGCGGGAGAGGCCTTAGACCAAGCCTTCCTGCACTCGCAGCCACACACCCCTGGGTGCCAGGCCCCGTGCTGGGGCGGGGATCTCCCGCAAGGAGGCAGTTGGGGGACAAGCCTAAGAGTTGGGAGCCTTATTTCAAGTAATCGTCTCGATCCGTGAGACTGACAAGTGACAGGTGAAAGAGGGGACAGGTAGGGAAAAGTAACCACTTGACTCCGTCTGTCGCAGGGGAGAGGGCTGCTGTTAAAACCTGAGCCCCCACAAATCCGAGCACTCCTTATATCTCCCCCCCACCCCCAAAAGTGAAATGCCAGAGCCGCTCCGCGGGATAAACTACTCTCTCGGGGGGCGTGGCGAGGGAAGGGCTGGAGCGCCGGCCAATCAGCATCCTGGGAATCCAAAGGGGGCGGGGCTCCCGGAGACCACCTGCCCGGTTCCCCCCTCTCCGGGGCGATCTTGGTTGTGTATTTGGGACAGATCGGAGCGGCCGAGTGTCCACAGCAGAGGGGCTCGAGACTTGTGTCTGTGCGTGTCTGGAGAAGCGGGGTGACACCGCCTGGTCTCCCGAAAAAATGCCGGCACACAGACACATCTGCGGGCTGCTGAGAGCCGCGGAAACCAGGTCCCCGCAAGCTTCCTCCGCAGATCCATTGAGTCTCAGAGACTCGTCCGGGTGGCGACGAGAATGCCCCTCGCTTTGCCTCTAAAGGCTCATAAAAGAGACCCCGCAAAGCACTAAGGAACCCCGAGCTCTGAGAACCGACCGGGGGGGAAAAGAGGGTGTGGGGGGAGGGGACAGTTTCGCCCTACAAATAGGAAGGGAAAGTTGATTGGCTGAAGCCCGCGCCGCGGCGACCAATCAGAACGCCGATCTGCCCCCTCCCTTAGCAACGTGGCCGCGGCGTTCCAAAATAGAACGCGCCGGGGACGTCAGGGGCGGGGCGGAGGGGGCGCGGAGCGCGCGCCGTGCGTGCCCCGCGTCAGACGGAGGATTCCAGCACGTCAGCCCTTACGCACGGGTCCCCCGTTACGTCTCCGCGCAGGAGGCGGAGGCAGCGCCGCCGAGGGTTCGAGGCACTCGCTTTCCCGCTGGGTGGAGGAGGAGGAGGAGGAGGGGGAGAGGGATGGGGCGCCAGAGGCCGCTCTCGGAAGGCAGCGGGCCGGGATAAGCTACTGGAAGCTTCCCGGAGAATTTTTTTCCCTCCCCCTAGCTGCTCTGTGTTTGAGGGGTCCGATGGCGCGGGGTGTTGGGAGAGACCCGAGCCTCAAAGTTCTCAGCCCGTCAGCCTGCAGTCCCGCAGCGCCGCGGCCCCGCAGCGCGCGCTCCGCGCGCAGTCTGGAGCGCACAGTTGTTTGCAGTTTGCTAAGTGCAATGTGACTTTTCATTCTCTCCTAGAACCTGGCTTTGGGTGCGACTTTATAGCCATAATAATAATACTAATAATAATAACAATAATTATAAGTACGATCTGCAAAGCAACACATACCTGAGAGGCGGCGGCGGCGGTAGAGGGGCTGCCGAACGAATCCACCGAGGATAAATACTGCGACTCGGCCGAGGGTGAAGAGCTGCACCGGGAACCGGAGTCGTAGTCTCCGGGGAAAGCTTGAAACATTTCCCTGGGCACAGGGGGGCCCCTGTGACCACGCTGGGGTCGCCGGGAAGCCAACGCTGCTGGCCGGGTTGATGAAGGTTAAGATGCAAATCCGGGGTGAGCCGAGCGTTGTCCTCTTCTCTCCCCGCCCCCCCAAAAGACACCCGCAACCAACCCAATCTTATTTCTTCAAGTGCGCTGGCCGCGGGGAGGGGGCGGCAACGTCCCGCTCCAACAGTGACAAAGTTTCGGTGCCGTCCCCGTGCGGTGTCCCGGCACCTGGAGGATGGATGGCGCCGTACCCCGCGGAGGAAGTCCAGGCTCCGATCAGGACTCTGAGGATGCTGGATGGGGACGGGGAGGGGAGGGGGGATCGAACCCCCCAAAAAGCTTGAAAGCGTTGTCCCGCGGTATAGAATTCGCTTCACGTTCTCCTTCCACGTTGTCCGACGAGATGAATGGGCAGCAAAAAGCTGGGAGACGAACAAGAAGAAGGAGGAAAACACAAAAGTAAGTCGATCTTCCAAAGTGAAAATGAAGAAATATCTAGAAGGATTCTTCGAACGCCAAAACTTTCCGGAAACAATCTTTCACGGCTTCCAAGAAGAAGAAGAAGAATCACGAGAATCAAGTTCTTCTCTCCCCCCCTCCCTCACCCCTCAAATCCGAGCTCCGCGTGTCCCTGCTGTAGCCGTGGCTCCTCAGTCTTATGAATGAACCCCGAAGCCGCCAGCCTGTATTTATATGCCCGGGATCCGGCCCCCCCGCTTGCGTCACCTCCCCAACGCTCAAGAAACTTCCCCAAATCTCCGTCCCCAGGCCACCAAGCCCCATTCGGCTCGACCAGAGGCCTTCCCTAGGCTGGAGCTGGATGACCAAGCGACCCTCGGCGCCCCGGGGGTCTCGGGGGCTGCTTTCCGGCCCACTCGGCGGGAGGGGATCCCGGCCCCGCCTCCCCGGAGTTCCTGTGACGCAATTAGCCATATAAGGAGCTCGGCCGGCGCGGCCCAGTGTTTGTTTGGTATCCTAGCAATGACGTCAGAGGGAATCCCTCGCTCGCGCCCGCGCGCGCCGGGAGCGCCCGCCCGCCTGCGCGTGCGCACTGCGGCGGCGCGGGGAGAAAGGAGGGGGGAAGGGGGGGGGAGAGAAGGATTGTATTCTTGGTTTCACCCGCCCGCTTGAAACTCCGGGGAGGGTCCGCGTCCCACCGACCCCGGCCGGGGCGGGGGGAGGGGGAGGGGGGAGGAAGACCCTTCTCCTACAAGTCTCCTAATTAACCTCTGTCTAGTCACCCCGATCGGCCGCTGGGACAGCGCCCCCACTGGAGAGGAAGAGCAAGAAAGACCTGGAATATCAACTAATCCTGATTAATGGGGTTCAGTCCCGTAGGCGGGGTAAACTGAGTCTCGAGGGTGGTGAGAGGTCAGTGATGTTCCGGGTGAAAGGAACGGAGTCCCTAGGTTCGACTCCCTTTCTTCCCTGCCGGGCTGAGCTTGGACAATGTTTTGGCCTGTCTGAGCCTCAGTTTCTCCCTGATGACCAAAACAAAAATGTGTGCGTTTATTATTATTATTAATAATAATACACTTTTTTGACTTGGCTGGCTTTGCATCCGTGTGCAGGTATGGAGGGTACGCCGAAGGTGCTGGCAGACTCTCCCTCCGCCTTATCTTACCCTGAGACAGAATGACAGAATGAGTGGGTGTAATTAATAATCACACGTATTATTATTATTATTGATGCCATATATTTAGCACTTGAACTGTAATCCCTCCATCAACTTTGGAAGGGAAATGGGGGAGGTTCTTTATTTTTTTTCATTTCATAAAGCACAAACATGCTCCTGAGAGAGGCTAAATGTCCTTGCTCCAGACCCCCTGTACAGGACGTTTATATCCAGCGCTGTCAAGCTCTAGAACTCCTTTTTCCATTGGTTTTCTTTTGACATGGGGCTGTACTATTCAGCGAAGAAGGCTGATCTCCAACTCTTGGATTCCAACCATCTTCCCATCTCAGTCTCCCAAATAGCTGGGACTGCAGGTGTGTCTCACTGTTGGGGGTGGGTTGGGGACAGGATTAGAGTTCTCACGTTGGTGAATTTCTTGCCTAATTTCTTCCATCTGCCTAGCTGGGTGAGACATTGGGTCTGGGAATTGCACTGGTGAAGTGTTTATAAACTACACATGTGTCCCTCCTGCTGATGGTGTGTATTATGTTAACAGCCACCACCCCACCCCCACCCCGGCATGTGCTTGGGGTTAGGAGTAGGGTTGCTTACTTGAGGCAGCCTTGTTAATAGGCTTCAAGAGCCTAGTCTGAGCTAGGCATGGTGGTTCACACCTGTCAAGCCAGCACTGCCATCCCAGTGAACAGCTTGGCAGCCCTGAGCACAGTGGGAGAGAAGCACTTTTAAGAGGTTGCATCTCACAGGCCCAGAGAGGTCACACAGCTCCGCTCAAGGTCACACAGCAGGTTTGAGGCAGATGGTTCCCAGTTCAGTCTTGAGTCTCTGCCCCAATAGTGAGGAGGGATGGGGGAAGCTATAGAAGACTCCAAGGATGCAAGAGAGGGAAACAGTTAAAGTTCCCAGACAAAAGCTCCACCTTCGATTGCCCTCTATTGGGTTCCCCCACACCCCCTCTGTCTGCCCTAGGCTGGAAGGAGGGACAGAGAGATGACACAGCAGCCACTAGCTAGCAGTGACTCGGCACAGGCATCAGACAGGGAGGGTCAACATCCTCTGCCCTCTGAGCCCCTCATCCTCTTCTGTGGGGTAAAAGAAGACAGTCATGCATCCTTGTCTGCCCACCCCAACACAGACAGCCTGCCCTCCACCCAGCCACCAGCACCCACGCTCCCACCCACAGGTCCTCCTGGGCAACTCAGACACCTGCCCACAAGTCCTAACTCACAGAAGCACACCAGCATGGAAGGACACACCCTCCAGCACTGGTGGCTCACACCTGTAATCCCAGCCACTCAGGAGGCTGAGATCTGAGGATTGAAGTTCAAAGCCAGCCTGGGCAGGAAAGTCTGTGAGACTCTGGTCTCCTATTAACTACCCAAAAAAGCCAAAAGTGGAGCTGTGGCTCCATGGGAGTGCATCAGCCTTGAGTAAAAGAAGCTCAGGGACAGAACCCAGGCCCTGAATTCAAAGCCAAGGACTGGCACACACAAAAGAAAACAATCGGGCCGGGAAGGTGGCTCCGTGGTAGAGCGCTTGCCTTGCATGCCTGAGGCCCTGGGTTCGATTCCTCAGCACCACATAAGCAAAAAGAAAAAAGCCGGAAGTGGCGCTGTGGCTCAAGTGGTAGAGCGCTAGCCTTGAGCTGAAGAGCTGAGGGACAGCGCCCAGACCCAGAGTTCAGGCCCCATGACCGGACCCAAAAAACCAAAAACAAAAGCAAAAGAAAACAAGCCACGCATCCCTAACAGCATATGCACAAGTTTGTACATACCTGAGCCAAGAGTTTAGATGGATAACAGACAGTGAGAAACACCAAACTCACAAGAGGCACTGGCCTTACTGCGCACACACACACACACACACACACACACACAGGCCAACAACCAGCATCCGGTAGTGTCTCATTCCCCCCAACCCCCCCCCACCCATATAGCACCACAATAACAAGAAGTGATTCTTTCAGAGTACTGATATTAACATGGAATTCTTGGAACTCTCCCAAGAGTTAAAGATGGGCATGATTGGCAGGTGAGAAAAAATATAAGCCCAGAGAAGTCAAGTCATGGTGTAGAGTTACACAGCAAGTGTGTGGCAGACAGGGAGTAAACAAGCAGGGGGTGGGGCTGCAGATTCTGTGCCTTCCACTGTACTTGTTCAATGACTTTATTGATTGTTATTGTAAAGGTGGTGTACAGAGGGGTTACAGTTACATAAACCAGGTAAAGAGTACATTTTCTTTGTCAGTCGTGGGGTTTGAACTCATGACCTAGGCTCTATCCAAGGCTAGTGCTCAAGGCTAGTGCTCTACCACATTGAACCACATCTCTACTTTTGGTTTTCTGGTGGTTCATTGGAGATAAAAGTCTCATGAAGCCGGGTGCCAGTGGTTCACACCTGTAATCCTAGCCACTCAGGAGGCTGAGATCTGAGGATCTCGGTTCAAAGCCAGTCTGGGCAGGAAAGTCCGTGAGACTCTTATTTCCAATAAACCACTAGAAAACTGAAGTGGCACTGTGGCTCAAGCAGTAGAGCGCAGGACAATGCCCAGGCCCAGAGTTCAAGCCCCGAGACACACACACACACACAAAGTCTCATGATCTTTCCTGCTCCAGGATGGCTTAGAACTTGGATCCTCAGACCTCAGCCTCCTGAGTAGCCAGGATTACAGGAGTGAGCCACTGGTGCCAGGCGAAGAGTACATCATTTTGGATAATGTCACTCCTTCCCATTTTTTCCCTTTCAACATAGTGTCTAGTGAATATCAATAAGTTTATTTTTGGAGTGTGTGTGTGTTTGCCTGTACTGGGGCTTGAACTAGGAACCTCACACCTTTGATGGCATCTGTCCTCCTTTTGATAATTTGTCGATTTGTTCAGGGCTGGCTGTCAGACCCTGGTGTGAATTAAGTGTTAAAGGTAACTGAGCCACTAGCCTGTTTTAAAAAGTAAACTAAATATGTAAATTTTCTTGATGGGTACTGGCAGAAAGTATGATCTCCATGGAGGTAACGAGTGATCAGAATCAAATGTGATTAATAATCATAGTGCGAGTGATCATTATTATTACCGCTCCAGCTAAGCCTGGGGGTGGAGGGACTAAGCGTCCCGCACTGGGTGGTGTGCGTGTGTATGCGTGCCTGTGCACGTGTGTGCGTGTGCAGTCTCTGGTGATTCTATTGTCTTCTCACCCACAACTTTGCAACTTCATCATTTTCTACGCAAACACAAATTCCCCCCCATTCCAGATCCTTCCCCCCAGGCCTCCCTCCCCACCCCCCGTGGGTCCCCAGGTCACTGCCCACAAGCCACAGCCTCCCGTCACACCCTGGTCACAC